TGAGGGGGAGAACCGGCTGAGGGAGAACCGGCTGAGGGGGAGAACCGGCTGAGGGGGAGAACCGGCTGAGGGGGAGAACCGGCTGAGGGAGCCCCGGGCTGAGCGGGGCCCAGGCTGCTCCCAGAGCCACAGCACAGCCCCTGATCCCCCCCTGATCCCCCCTGATCTTCAGGGCCCACGCCAGCTCTCCATCTCRGCCCCTGCAGCATTTCTAAGCAAGATCCCGGTGGATTTGCAGTGAATTTATGGAAGTTTCAGTGCCTCTGACAGGCGGCTTTGGCATGAGCGATGGCCCAGAGGCMGTCACTGGCCACATCTAAAATCGTGAGGTGACACTGGGGTTTGAAAAGCGGGATGAAGGGTCACCCCRCTGCYTCMCTRCACAGGGGAGCACAGCCAGCTCCCRCCTGTGCCATCAAACCAAGAAATCCTGATTCTAATGGGATTTTCATCTTTAATCTTAATTGCTTTAACAGCAATTCCAGAGGTTAAACAAAAGACTGAAGAGTAGAGACAGGACACTGAAATCACTCCATTCCTTATTACTAATTTCTGAGTTACTTCAGACTTTCCATCCTGAAGACGATACCACAGAATTTCATCACCTRTGCACACGGCGGGATAAGGGGTGGCTGTTCCTAACCCAGCTCACAACTGTTTCAACCAGAGTGGGTGGTCAGCAAAGCCCTCACACCCCTGGACAGCAGCTGCTGGTCTAAGCTCCCACGGCAGCAAACAGGTAGCATCTGGCTCACATCTCTTGGGATTTTAAAAGCCTGTTTAATTGTTTCAACTTTTGCCACATTTGCAGACTGAAGCATAGGAATAGCGACTACTTTGCTCAGGGAAAATACAAATACTATCCAAATACTTATACATTCTTYCAATTCATACAGATTGTTCCTCCAATACAGCAATAAAGTAGCTCAGAACTTAGTATCTGTGCATAATTTTTAATCCATGCTTGATTTTGCTGAAGTTTTACTTTTTTTTTTTGGTTGAGAGCTTCAGAGGCAGAATTGCCATAGGAAATGGCAGCTGAGGAAGGGCTGCCCCCATGGCTACCCCGTCCCCTGCCCCGCAGGATGCCCCGTGCCCGTTACCTTTGCGGTTCATGCCCATCTGGAGGCATTTGAGCAGCCGGCAGTACTGGCACCTGTTGCGCTGCTTGCGGGACATGACGCAGTTCTTGTCGCGGCTGCATCTGTACACCCGTTTGTTGCAGATGCTCCTTTTGAAGAAACCCTTGCAGCCCTCGCAGGAGATGATGCCATAGTGCAGCCCCGTGGCCCTGTCCCCGCAGATCAGGCAGGTTCGCTGATCCACCCGCTCATCTGCAAGGCAAGAGGAAAGGCTTTGAGGAAGGCCCTGGAGTTCCTGTCAGGTAGCTGTACAAACCCACCTTGTGCCTGGGCTGCTGCCCGCACCCACTGCTCCCCTTAGGATACAGACCTTGAAAAACCCCAGCCTTTGGATGGCACTGGCTTGTGATAAGCTGAGTCAAACTTATTTCAGCATGACAACACCAAGCCTGAYTGTCTCCATTTAGATTGGAATGGGGAGTTTTCTGAGACAAAGGTGTTTATCTGCAGGATGGATTTTTGGCGCAGCAGGAGGTAAGAGTCTCAGAGAAGTCTTCTTTAGCCTCAATAAAGCCCAAGCAAGCTGACAAGCCAGGGTGTAGCTTCTCACTACTGCACAACGTGTGAATGCAATACAGATGAATGAGCCAAATGYATGGAGATCAGAAATTAAACCAGTTTTCGGTTACACAAGCCAAGTAAAAATCTAAACCAGCTGCTCCTACTCACAAGCAGCTTTCTGCAGAGCTTAAACCCAGCAGAAACCAGAACCAATCTGCGTTAATCTCTAAAAGGTTTGCTATGCACAGCATGCACATTTGCACTGTTCTGCAAATTTCACTGTTACAAAACATTAAAATAAAGGGAAACACAAACTTTGAGTGAAGAAACATTTCTGATTTGCACCAAAACATTCCCCGTTTTACAGGACAGACCACTTCAGGTATGTGCCAAACACAAAGGAATGTTGGTATGGATCAGGAGTGGGGCTATCGGAGCATCTCTGAAGGGAGGCAACTAAACATGACTTTGTAGTCACCATAATCTCCACCTTCAGCAATCTGATAAACGCGGGGAGGGGGCCGGGGATTAGTCAGGACAGAGGAGCCCTCTATCTGCAGCGTTTAGCTCAGCCTCAGCTTAACTGGCAGCCCTCCCCCTGCTCCCACAGCAGTGCCATAAATCCCGGCTGCCGGGGGATCCCAGGGTCAGCAGCAATGGCTGGACTCGCCGCCGGGCACAGGAGCCACGGCCGGGCAGGGTCGGGGAGCCGGGCAATCAGCGGTGCCACAGATGGCCACAGGCACGGCACCCTGGACTGCCCCGGCTCCACAGCACAGCGCTCGGGGCCGGCCGTGGGGCTCCCTCCTCACCCGAGCAGCCAGCCYGAGGATGTCAATGAGGGCTCTTTTCCAGGCACTGCTTGTTTTGTTGTGGGAAGAATAGAGCCGTCACCCTGCCAGTGTGGAAAGGCTGGATGATTAAAAAGAGAGGAGGAATCAGAAACCTTCCCTTGCCATCCCCATCTCCCCAGTCCAAGGGCAGGATGGTGGGAATGGCTCCCTGGCCACAGGAACCGCACACACCTCCAGCAGAAGCTGCTCCTCGGGTGCGTTCGCAGATTAAAATTTGCAGCCGAGCAGCAGCACACACCGTGAACAAAGACACAGACCCCAGGGACCACAGCGGTGTCCGTGCTCCCCACAAACCCTCCTCAAACAAAACTGGAAGAATGAAAAATGATGGCCAACAGAAAGTCTTGGTGGTTTAGACATTTAAAAAATCCTGCAGGGACCATGGCCAGGCCCATGTTGCTTCTCTGTGCCCATGGGTTTGCTGCTCCTGACCTTTGCCAGTTCTCGCCCTACATAATGCAGAGCCTGGTTTGGGTGAAGGGTGGGAGAGACAGGGCAGAACCATGGTGAACTTCACAGAAATGGTAAAGCACGAGCAAATCTTAAGCAGTTTTGCAAGGAGGGTGCTCCAAACTCCCTTAACCTTGAAATTTCACTAGAGTATCGAAACACACAGTAAAAATAGCAATTCTTAAGTGAATAAGCCCACACTCCTCCCCATCTCTGTCACCTCTCGTCTCTCTGATTCCTCTGGTTTCAAAAGCTACACAAGACAACACACATTAGGATACAAAGCAATTGATAAGATTTCTTTTTTCAAATACCTTGCACGTTTTATTTCAGAGAGAGAGCTGAGGAAACTGCCCCCTGCTCCCCTCCCCAATTTTCACGATGGGTCTTACATTTAACAAACTCATACACGGGATATTCTGGCTTTGTTCTCCCAACCCATTGTAGCAGGGGCCACTAAATCAAACAGTTGCTGCTACGACAAAAGCACTCACAAAAATCTCAACCTCATCTTGAACCCTGAAGATTTTTATGGCTACTCCCTTGCTAGCCCCTCCCCGAAGCCACATTAAAGGATGTATTGTTTTCAGAGGTCATGGTAGGTTTCATACCACATACAATGTAAATTCTCCAAGAATATGATGACGTTACTCAAGAATTACAGAAGATGGAGTGAAAAAAAGAAGAAATCTCCCCTTATCTATGTTTCATAAGGCAAACAGTAAAAGCAATACAATTAATTCAAGAAACTTTCTCTTCTCCTCAGCAAAACGAGGAGTCTTGATAATTTTTAGAAGAAAATTCCTGTAAATTTCCAAAAGCAAATACCTTACAATCCTGCTGACACACATGGCAAAGACACACGGAGAAAGCACTACAGCACATGAATGAGATTATAAAATAGCAAATGAATTAAAGTGTGGTGGCACACGGCCAGCACATCCCTGTCACTGCTCCCACCTGTGCCACTGCTGGGGACAAATGCCCTGAGCAGGCGGCCGGGAAGTGCCTTCGGTGCTGGGAAAGGGGACCGGCGCTGCCACATTCCGAGGGGACCAGGTGCTGAATCTGCAGGTCCCCAGGCTGTGAGGGGATCACATCCATCCCTGGACATCCAATTTAAAACTCTACAGCAACWACAGCTCCCTGTGAGATTTACCTTGGAAATCTGACGGCGTGTTGGTGCAGTCAGCTTGTGGGATTTTCTGTATCGATGCTTTATGATGGAGGAGAAACAAAGACTTTATTTCAAAGAGTGAGGCCAAGAGTGAAAGCACAACCCTCAYCCAAAACCCAGGGCAGACGGAGCTGGGATTTGGCATGGCTGGAAGGCAAGAGGGAGAACACAAAAAGACGCCGCCGGCAAAACTTCCCATTTATACAAAAGAACATGAATTTACAGATAAGAAAATCTTTTACAGCTGAAAAAAAATTACAGGCAATACTCAGCACTGCAATTCATTAATATATTTAATATCTTTTCTGCTGCGTGCCAGTTATTTGCTTCTTGATTAACTGACCCTATCACAACCCCCTACAGCAGCCTTTAACTGAGTTTAAATCTCAAGCTGCTAAATACCAGCTGTTTGGGGAGGGGGGTGGAGGGGGAGATCTCACACATGTGTTACTTAAATCCCAACAGCATCTCACTCCCCTCTCGCCTCTGATGATGCCTCGAACACAAACAAACGTGTTGGGGTTTCTTTTCCCATTATTTTTCCCAACGATGTTTCTCGTTGTCAATTTTTAGTTTCAAGAAAACCATTCTGTGAAATTCAAACCGCAGAACTGGAGTAACTACCCCCTCACTATGGAGCGTTTCATTGTCCAAACAAGCCCACCCCCAAACCAGGCGCCTTTGCTTCAGGGGCCTTTTTTTTAACTTATAATCGATGAACACAGGGATTAAATTTTCTGTGCGTTGGCCCCAGCTCGGGATAGCAGCGAGCTCAGCAGCAGAGCCCGTGGCCGGGCGCACAAAGGGCCGGGGCATCCCACTCCTGCTCCCCATCGACCCCGCAGATGGGGGTCCCAGCCCCACGCTGGAGGCGGGCGAAGGCACCGCGTCCTGCCTGGCCAGCCCCGGCTCAAAGAGCAGATTGTGCTGCCCCGGATCAGGCCGGCCATAGTGAGAGCTGAATAGAATTAACCCTCTGTGAACTAAAACAAAAACATTTGTGTGCCCAGCTGGGAGAAAGGTTAATTTAAATGGACAAGCCTCCTGTAAAAGAAAAAAAAAAAAAAAGAGGAGGGGAAAGAAAGAGGTGGCCTGCGACCTTATTCTCTGTACTGTAAAATACATTCTATTCACAGAGTCTCATTTTAAAAAGCAGYGAGTACGGGAAAGAAAAGAGGAGAAATGCTGCACTAGAGGAAYGGCCGGTGCATCTCACTCTGCTTTCCCTTTCCAGTAATGAAATCCCAAACTCACGCTCTTAYTCCATCCTGATTGTGTTTCTGYMCAAGCAGAGTTCAACCAAAAGAAARCCCTCATTAAAAAAAMCCCCAGAAATCATCAGCTGCTCCTTTCGGTTYGGTATAAATCAAGAGCGTGCAGCTGATGAAACCCATCACCCTTCCCCTGCCTGGGACACATCTCCATTTACATATCAAAAACTCATCTGTGAAATCCAACTTCTCTCAGGCAGGGGAGCCCCGGCCCCGCCGCTGCCTCACCCCAACACCAGCTCCGCGCCCCAGGAGCGCAGTCCGGGAGCTGCCGAGGGACACCGGGCACTCCGGGACCATCACCCCATTCCAATGTGCGGGACGGGGAGAGGACGGATCCTTCAGCAGCCAGTTGTTGCACAAAGAGTTTGGAACAAAAGCCCGCACACCAAGATGTGCCCGATGGCCGGGACGGCAGCTGAGGACAGGCACGAGGGTCTGGGTCGCGCTGCCCACGCTCACAGACCAACTCCGAGTTTACAGCTCTCCAAAGTGATCAACTTTCGCTGATCCAATTTTAGCCAAATAAAGGTCCGTGCACGGTCCCTGCTCTCGCTCCGGTGCGCTATGAATTAATGACTGGGTTACACTGGTTTGGCTTTTTTTTTTTTTTTTAATTGATACATTACAAAGCAGTAAGATGAAGACCCGACCTACCTGCCTAAAACCTATTCTTTCGGCCCTATTGAAGCTGTCCAGATGTGCAACTACTGAGAACGATGCAGAATTAAGAAAATCTGAAACTAATCCCACCCCCAGTGGTGCGGGCTGCGGGAGCAGGGCCTGGGCACTACTGAAACAGTGACTTCTCCGACGTGTGTTACCAAACACGCAATGTTCTTTCCTGAAATATTTCATCCTTACTCTGAAGATGAGCTTTACCGCTGTCTTCAGCCACAGAGGGGAAAAAAAGGCTGCAAATASCATGGGGGGCAGCCG